AATTGAGGATGAACATGTTTCTATGTGGTAGAATTCAAATAAAATTTATGGGGCTTATTTTTAATGTTTGAATGATTTAGCAAAGAGAATGAAATTGTATTAAATGAAAACTAAAGGATATCTATAAAATCTACTGTCATACAGTGGTAGTAGCATTAGAATAAAATTTCTGGATCTTGTTTAATGTAGTTTGAAGATTTAACAAATTATGCGTTGTTTCCCAAACTAGTTGATTTATTCATTGCATAATTGTAGGGGAGCTTCAAAATGTATGCCTTGGACGTTTTGGCAGCATTTTAATGAGGCGTGACCGACGTAATCGCAAACTTTTTTCGTCGTTAATCATCTAAATCGCGTGGTTTAGTGTTAAATAAAAAATATTAGATTATGACTAAAATTAATTTTTTTCTAATAGTAGAATTTTTTTTTTAAAATGTGTGTTTGTACAGTGTCTTATGAGAAAGTAAGACTTCAACAACAATTTTCGAATTATAATTATTTTACTATTATTTATTGATTAGATGGAGTAGAAAAAAACTAAAAATAAGGTTTTTGAAATATTTAGGTTTTGTTTTTTACAATAAAATATATAGGTTACCGTGGAATTTATTGAGAAATTATTATTAATTTATTATTATTAATTTTCAACTAGGTTACTTGAAAATTTTTTGTGATTTTTTAATATTAATTTCTCAATAGGTTTCACGGTTTACTATATATATTTTATTGTATAAAACAAAATCTAAATATTTCAAAAACCTTATTTTTAGTTTTTTTCTACTCCATCTAATCAATAAATAAGAGTATAATTCGAGAATTGTTGTTGAGGACTTACTTTCTCGTGAGGCACTGTACAAATAATCACATTTAAAAAAAAAAAAATTCTCAAAAATTTGCAAGGTAAGGTATAGTTAAAAGTTCAACATTAGATGAATAAGGACTTCAACTATTAGAAAAAAATTAATTTTAGTCATAATCTAATAACTTTTTTTTAACATTTGAGGCGAGAGGTGTGGCGAAAGGACCTCCTTAACATATTTTTCACATATTCCATAAGAAAATGCTTAATAATGTAAGATCAGGTGATCGTGCTGGCCATTCTACCGATTAAGAGTGCCAACTATGAAGATTGTTGATAACTTTTAGGTTTTTTTTTTAATAACGTCGAAAAAAGCCATTTAAATGGTTTTGCTAGTTTTTACAGTAACAAGAAGAAATTATTAGTAATTAATTGTTCAGGGTGTTGTAGCGAATTTCGTCAATCATTTAATTTTTTTTTTACTGTTACTTTTTGTAATAAAGGACCACGCACTTTTCTTATGCAAACAGGAGTACCGTTAAAATATCTGAGTGTTAAATTATTCGATTTCCCCATGAAAAGTTTTTATTCGCTCATTCTGTGTAGTTAAAATACATACTTAACTACTATAATCAAAATATTGTCACTTACAGGGTGATTCATGATTTCGCTGAACTTTTTCGGTCAAAGTCGGTATTTCCACCGAACAAAAATAACTGAAATGCCGAAAAAAAATATATAATATATACCTACCACCGCCAAAGTCTCTCAATATTTAATATTGTATAGTTCTCTATGTACTCGTTCGAAATTATAATTAGTAAAATTGGATCCTATGACTAGTTTTCCAAATATAATTTAATATGCACCCAATATATGAAGTTAAAACAATAATTAATAGATTCTGATATAAGTAGATATGTTCAAGATATTAAATATTTTGACACACTGTGTTAGATTAGGAATATACCCCTTGTACTATTTGGAGGCAAACCTACAGGGTGATCGCGGTTGAATATGTAAAGTGAAAAAGTCAACAACACTTGTTGAAATTGTTGCCAAAGAATAGAAAACAATTGCCTTGTAAGTTGTGAATTGTTCATTAAAAAATCTTACAAGTCCACATACGGGGGTCATACATTATTCCATTATAAAAAAAATCAGTATACGGTAGGTCTAAGTAGGATCTAGAGAAATAAATTGTGATAAGATTATAAATATATTTAAATCAGATTGGGAGTTCTTTCCTGCGCCATCCATGAGGTAAAGAGAAAATTTTTTTGTTGAATATTCTTTCGATATATTATGGACTTATACTATCGTGACCATGATTGCGGTACTTTTTTATTTTGAGACTCCAGGTTCTGGAGGTCTCACTAAGTGAGACTTGCTTGTGATCTGTGTAGGCTTTGTCACTGTTTCCCAGCGCCATTTTAGAAAAATCATTGTTAATCATTGGGGAATCGTACCTATACATTAGAATGATTAAATTTGCTAAATTAAATAAAAGTCCTATCACCAGTGGGATTCGAACCAAGACCCTTCGTTCTCAAAGTTATGACACCAATATTTGTATCGCGTTTAATAACTATCAGATGAACAGCATAAAATCGACTTTTGCTTTCTCTGAACTTCAATTCCGCACTTCTCTAACAAACGGTAACCGGCAGGCAACAAAAGTGTCTTGCTTGCTTGTCGAAATCACGGTACCAGCGCAGCGTATCGTTATCCGCTGGTCTTGTACTCTTTAAGTTTACACTTACCGTTGCGACCCAATTGCGAACCGGCGGCTACTATTCAAGCTAACGGCACCTGTAGTCTAAACTAACGGTTCCTTCCTCGTTTGAAGATACTTTTTATGAATCATAATATCATCATAAATACGGTTCGGTTTTGCAAATAAATGTTTCGTTGCTAACTGAACGGATACCAGACGAATTCGTAATGAGTTTGAGGTCGAAAGTGTGCATAGAGAGATTACGGTATAAATGATTTAAAAGGAAAATACGTTTACCGGAATGTACCTCTTCACTGGTACAAACAAAGTCCAGGGTAGCTATTCTTATATTCGAGTGAATATAAAACCGATTTTTCTTCTTTATATGCAATGTACAAAATTTGTATTTCTGTCTCATTCTTCCCTCCAAATTTCTATTATCTGGGATTCAAGAATAGACTGCAAAACTTGAGTAATTAAGTTAATACGGACAAGAATAAACAGAAAAACGTTGAATTAACGTTTCAAGTGTTAAAACAGTACAAAAAAAGTTTAATCTATTGAAATTGACAGCGTGTCATAAATGAGTGACAGACACCATAGTTACCCAGAAAGGACATCCAATATGTAATATAACTGTTATAAAATGTTATTTTTGAGCATTTCTTCCTTTTTCTGATGTACCATAGCCTCCTGTATTTGAATGAACAACGATTTCATACATTCCAGGTAGAAAATTGCCCTTCGGGGCGTTGATTTATTAATTTTATCTTTTGTTTTAATATGACCGTTATAAAATGTCATTTTCGTGGCATACACAACTATTTCGCACATTTTCATTAGTTCGAAAATTGCCTCCGGCCCGGTGATTTATCCATTTCATCTTTTGTTTTGTGACCCAACCTGCCGGTGCTTGCCGTCGACCCAAATACGAATGACCCAAATTCGGAAGACCCAGGCTTCCTAGTTTCTAGGTCAGCCCATCCGCCGCGTGTCGCTACGATACGAGGGGCGAGCGAAAATTTACCGCATTGTCAAGAGGAGGAAGTTGAACAAAATATTTTGGAGGGGAAAAATAAATTTTTGTTGAGGTGGAGGGTCGCCGTGAAATAACTAATGAGATTAGGAACGACTCAAATCAAATTTACTAGAAACTATAATAATAATAATAATGTCCTGTTTAAACGGAAATTCAAGAATATTTGTAAAATAATATTTATTTTGAAGAATGCTACAAAAAAGATAGAAGTATGCATTAGTAGCGTTAGCCATTAACGCTCATCTAATATTTTTTTGTTTTCGAAAGAAATAAAATAAATAATAAGCGTTTTGACCCATTTCTGTAACATATCTTCGTTACCATGACCACAAAAATACAACGCAACAAAATTTAGAACAAAAATTTCAATGCTAATTCCATGCATAATTCATCTACTCCACCCGTACGTTGCGTAAGTCTTTTATTTACAAAGGCCTGCTATGATTGCGTAAAAAACCGATGAAATCTAAAGCCCCACCTCCAATTATTCGGCAGCGCGATCGATGACGTCGTCCTAAAATATCCATACCATGTGTCACTTAACACTTGGGTCAAGGAAGCAACCGTGTATTAATCTGACCTTAGTAGGCCATTAATTTTGAAATGTGGCATGGCACGGCACTCTTCGATACGGATTACATAGAATTAGGCATTCGTGGCAAGGGCAACGTTGATGGATGGAGAGGAATGCGGGATTTTCCGAATTATTTGGCTATTTTTATGTTCAATTAGATTGAGATTAAAAAATAATAGTTTCATATGGAATAGACGATTTTTTCATCTACAATACTGATTTGACAGTGCACATGAGATTTCTGTGGCTGTCTGATGAGCCCCAAATTAATATTGAAATTACGCAGAACAGAACAAAGGAAAAAAGTGCAGTTTCTAGCCATTAACGCTTTAAATACACTTGATATTTCCTCCTATTTTTATTGCTATAATTCCTCGTTAAAATATTTTAGGCTAAAAAAATAAATAATGTTAATTGGCTTCTGTCAAGTACAATTACCTACATATAAAAACAGATAACTAAATGAATTTATTTATGTGCAAAACATAGCAACAATTTACTTTTAAAGTGATAAAAGGCAGCAATTTCACTAAATACATTAACCTCGAGTGTTAAATTTGATAATATAATAGTTAATATTTTTAAAGAAGAAATTTGTAAAGAAAATAAAAGTACTCTTAACATTTATGATCCCTCATTTTTTTTTTTTTTCGTATATAGGGTGTCACTAGCTATGTAATATCTCCATTATATTATTTAAATTACTTAAATTACTTTCTTCTTTTAGTTTTTCTATTAGTAAAGTTTTTCGTTACATATTTTTTTCAAATATGTCCAGAGTAGAATTATTTAGACTTTCTTATAGCTAGGAAAAATAATTTCTATAACACGTCACCTTGACACAGAAAGAAAGTAAATGCAATCCACTTACCAGTTTTCCAGAATCGAAGTTAGGAAAATGACATACCTAGAATAAAAAAAAATTAATAAAGTAAAATATATATGTATAGACTTTAAAAATTGTTTTATTTTCTAAAGAATATTTTAGAAGTGCATTGACTCTTAAACCCAACTAATAGCAGTCCATCTATTATAATTTTTATTTATTCTAAATGAATACCGATGATATTATTACAATAGATTAAGTGAAAGTTCAATTCTATAAAAGGTGATCTATATACGATTGCCTTCGAGCTCTTCATTCAACCATGGTTATACTTCCTAATAAACCAAATAAGAGTGGATGGCCTCATTTTTGTCACGAAACAGAAATATCAGTCTTCTATAGTTGCAAGACCCGGATTTATTCGCCCAGTCACATTTTTAAACCAGGATTCAATGAAATTATGCGGCCATTGTCCCGAATGTCTGCTTCTTGACTTCATAAATGTTTGTAATAAACTCCTGGACAAAATCTTTATTTATTGATAACTTACTGTACGACAAGTAGGCCATGGACCTTGTTTGACAGTGACAGTTGTTTTTTAAGCTAGCTAGTGACACGTAATACCTTGTTTAGACAGTAATTCGTATTAAACCTCGTTTTAGACTAAAACTGTGTTAACATTTTCTTAAAAAGTGCTGATTAAAGCAAAGTTTCTGTTAGAAGCAAGCTGTTGAGTGTAATCGTTTTTATTACATGCATGTTTGGAAGTTCATTTGGGAGAATATCAAGTAAAAAAAATTAACCGTCAAAGAAATCTGTCACTGGAGGAGGCAGTGGGAACATCGACTCTCCTGAATGAAGGATATTCAATGCGATATATTGCTGGTTTGTTAGGAAGACATCATTCCAGCATCAGTCGCATAGTGAGGCTACATAATGAAACGGGTTCGTACCATCGAAGACCAGGACAAGAGCGAAAACGTTCCACTAATCAAATTGATTATCGTTTTTTGAGACAACGTGCTCTTAGAGACAGGAGAGTAACCAGCAATCTGCTTAAAAATGAATTAGCAGATGTTCGAAATATCGCTATATCGTCTTGAACGGTTAGAAGACGTTTACATGAAGCAGGATTAAGCAACAGAAGACCAGCCAAAAAACCCTTGCTTACCAGAGAACACAAAGTTCAGAGATTAAATTTTGCAAGACTACATCAGAATTTGACCATCAATGATTGGAAACGGGTTCTGTTCTCCGATGAAACTAGAGTTAGCCTTAAAGCTCCAGATGGACGTAAGCGTGTCTGGCGAAGATAAGGAGAAAGGTTTGCCAGCTGTAATATCTCTCCTAAAGTGCCTTTTGGTGGTGGCTCTAAAATGTTTTGGGGAGAAATTTGCTTCGATGCTCGTACGGAGTTGGTCCCTATACGTACGAGGTCCATGAATGCCCAATATTACTTAGACAACATTATTGTCGAACATGTAATGCCTTTTGCGCCATTTTTTGGGCCCAATTTTTTATTCATGCAGGACAACGCTCGTCCCTACGTGGCTAGACAGGTTATTGGTTACTTACATGATGTTAATATTCCTTTATTAGAGTGGCCACCTAACAGTCCGGATATGAATCCTATAGAACATCTATGGGACTATCTCAAAAAGAAGATTCGAAGTCATAGACCAAATCATAGAGGTCGCTATTGAAGAATGGGAGAATATACCGCAAGCTATTGTTGAACATTTGATATCAAGCATGCCGCGACGCATGAATGCAGTGATAAGAAGTAGAGGAGGGCCTACGCAGTATTAGGGTTGACCCAGATGCATTTGTTCTCTTTAACTGATTTTTTTCAATTTGGTGTTATGCTAGCTTATTTATGCATTTCCAGCAAAAACAAATTTTTATAGAAAAAATAAGGCAAATTAAGGTCATGTAAAGGTCATATTCGACTTATTTTTAGGTGTTCATCATTATTTCAATGTAACTTAGTTTTATGTTATGTTTATATTGTAAATATTTAGATTAATTAAAGAGGTGCGTTAATTTTGTCCAGGTGTTTAGTTTTATAATTACAAATGAAGGAAGTTTTTTATTTTTTTTTTCTAATACGTCTTCTAAAAATCTTAAAATATCGTAAATACTACTTGACCTAGGCAGTCAAGCCGTTCTCAGCGTAGCTATTATCTTCACGTGTGTCGTTAAGTATGGGATCTGCATTACCGACACTTCACTCGCTTAGTGAAGTTTCAAACTTTAATACTTAACTTTACTGCGAGTAACGATCAAGAAGCTACTGTTGCATTAATAAATCCTTTTAGAGGGATGATTTCCAATGTGAATGGAGTTTGTCATATTATATTATCGTCAAAGCATAAGAATGTTACGAAACTATATGTAGATGTATCTCAAAATAAAGAATCATGAATCGATTTTAGTATATATCATTTCGTCTATACTTACACAAGTGCTCATTATGTAAGAATACTGTAAATAGGCCGATTAGATAATTTGAATTTGCATTTGGAATCTCCAGAGAAGAAAAATATAACCGTTACATTGGCACCTCCCTCTCTCTACTTTTTTAATCGATAGACAGATTTTATCCGTGAAAGTGAGAGCGAAAGTGGACGAGAAAGTCTTGCCTCATATTGTGTGTATATCTATATATACGTATTATATGTTGTTTTCTAACTAACAGGTGAACAGATACATGATTCGTGGTTAACCTCATTTGGTAATTGCCGGTAAAAGCAAAACAATTGTGGAATTGATGGTGTGCGAGCTTGTGCCTCTGTTCGGACACGTTCTTGTTCTTCGGGCACTTGGCTCCATTGTTTACCGCTAATTAAAATTTCTACATTATACCAGATCGTTAAGTTGTAACGTCGTACGTAATTTTTGCCAATGGGGCAACTTATGGATGGGTCAGTTATTTATTTCTAGAGCTATTATTTATAATAATACGAAATATCGATTTTTTAAATAGTGTAGTATATCGAAATATTAAAAATTACAATATTAATTATCGAAATATTAAATATCTAAATATTAAATTTAGAAATAAAATTTATCAAAATTTAATCCTAAAATTTAATATATCGGACTAAAATATATCAAAATTAAATCCTAAAATTTAAATGATCAAAAATGTAAAATAACGAAATATTAAATATCAAAATATTAATAATCAATATATTGAATATAGTAATGTTAAATATCGAAATATTAAATATCAAAATATTAAATATTAAAATATATATTAAATATCGTAATATCAAATATCGAAGTGCAATAGGTATATCAAAATTTAATCCTAAAACATATACTTAAAATATAAGAGAATAAACTTAAAAATATCAAAATCTCAGCACATCGAAATTACAAAATATCTAAAGGACAAAATACATAGAAATTATTAAACACAAAACAAAGAAAGAGCAAAATGCGAATCCACCAAATCTTTAAAAACTAAAATTATATTTCTAATAAAGGTAATAATAATAACTGTAAAATTATTTCCTATTACATAAAATAATTTAAACAAGTTATTCGCGATTCAAGCCAAGTATACGCCCTCTGGAGGAAAATTGTAGAAGGTCCCTATAAGTAGGATATCGTTCAGTATTGCCAGAAGTAGCAAAATTTCGCTACGTCGTCGGATTTTAGCTCTTGGAGAAGTGGATAAGACCTTTTATTTAAGAATCACAATTTGTGTATAGTAATATGTAATCATACTCTATATTTATTTAAGGATTTTTTTATAAAACCGATTTAATATGTTGATTTTTTAAATTTCAGTTCATTTATTAATTTTGTTTTAAAATCAGTTCATCATTTGGCAAAATTGGCGTTCGTGTTCATTGTTTACATTTTAATTTGTATCAATTACAATTCAAGTTTTTTCTTACTTTTTAGCTTTAAATTTGTTTATTTCTTATAGTATGTGATAGTGTTTATGTTAAAAATGAAATCTGCGAAAAAGTCTCCAGCAAATTGCAATCTATATGGTGTTAATGTCAAAATCAAAACTGAAGTATTCATTATTTTCCAAGTGCAAGTCGTAAAATTTTGTTTCTTATGATAAACGGATATCTGCAAATTCACAATATTGAAATTTTGCAAAACTTTGTTTAGAATCAAACTGTAATCTGATTTATGACGGTTTTATTTCCATTTACATGTATACAAAGTATTACATAATTCACTTCATAATATAAGAATAAGTCTAGTAAGATTTTTAAATAAGTTCATCAATAATAAACGTTTGGTACATGAAATATCCTTTATACCACATAATAAAACATGTCCTGGGTTTAGTAAATACATATTTCTAGATGTTCTTGTAGCAACCAATAGGTGAATATTTCCAACAAATTAAGTCATACACATGATAAATATTATACTTATGACGAAAGCACGAGACTTAAACTTAAAATAACACTAAATGAAACTCAAAAACACTATTACAATGAAAATATTATCTAAAAACAGTTAAAAAATCACAAATACAAAATCCTCCCAAAACAAACACATGTAAATAAACAAACATCCTACTTATAGGTGACAAATGACAGGCGCGCGAAAATTAATTTAAATCGCGAATAGAAGTAATTTTAAAAGATCGACCCACAAATAGTTCAGACGCCATTACAAATTGAGTTTGCTGATTTTCTCATAAACCCTTCATCAGATCTTGACTAAATTTATATGGAACCACTTCTGAGGAACCCCAAAAAATGAAAAGTTTGATGGTTTTTTCATGGACCCAATTGATAGATCTTGACCAAATTTGAATGGGACCACCCCTGAAGTATCCCCTTTCTAACAAAAAAGAATCATATAAATCGGACAACGTGGTAAAGAATTATCGCTGCACATACATAAAAAAAATATTCCGACGAATTGAGAACCTTCTTCTTTTTTGAAGTCTGTAAAAATATCACAAATTAATTATTAAAAAAACAACTTAAATTAACCTAACCAATTCGACTTACCGTAATAATAATTTTACATAAAATGTAGAAATTAAAAAACCTCTTCCATCATTTTAAATAATAATTTAAGTAGTAATTTCGATATTG